TTGCTATTCTTTGGAAGTCCGCATTCAATTTTCTGTAATTTTCCCTATCTCCCTTGCATTTTGTTTCCCTTCTCTTCTCTGCTATTTATAAGGCCTCGTTGGACAGCCACTTTACTTTCTTGCATTTTCTTTTCTTTCGGATGGTTTTTGTGGCTGCCTCCTGTACAATGTTATGAGCCTCTATCCAAAGTTCTTCCAGCACTCTGTCCACCAAATCTAGTTCCTTAAATCTGTTCTTCACTTCCACTGTGTATTCATAAGGGATTTGGTTTAGATTATACCTGATTAGCCCAGTGGTTTTTCCTAATTTCTTCAGTTTAAGCTTGAGTTTTACTATAAGAAGCTAATGATCAGAGCCACAATCAGCTCTGGGTCTTGTTTTTGCTGACTGTATGAGCTTCTCCATCTTTGGCTGCAGAGAATATAATCAATCTGATTTCGGTATTGCCCATCTGGTGATGTCCATGTGTAGAGTCGCCTCTTGTGTTGTTGGAAACGAGTGTTTGTGGAAAATCTTGTTCTCTGGACAAAACTCTATTAACCTTTGCCCTGCTTCATTTTGATCTCCAAGGCCAAACTTCCCTGTTGTTCCTTTTATCTCTTGCCTCCCTACTTTAGCATTCCAGTCCCCTATAATGAGAAAGACATCTTTCTTTTGTGTCAGTTCTAGAAGGTATTGTAAGTCTTCATAGAATTGGTCAATTTCAGCCTCTTCAGCATCGGTGGTTGGTGCATAAACTTGGATTACTGTGATGTTGAAAGATCTGCCTTGGATTCATACTGAAATCATTCTATCATTTTTGAGATTGTATCACATTACAGCTTTTCCCACTCTTTTGTTGACTATGAGGGCTACTCCATTTCTTCTACGAGATTCTTGCCCACAATAGTAGATATGATAATCGTCTGAATTGAATTGTATGTCTTAGCTCAATCCATTTCACAAGACTGTTTTGAGGATAAAAGGGGAAGATGCAAATTTGGTCTGTAGAGGAAGGTTAGGACAAAAATATACTAAACAGTTGTCTGTATGCAAGATTCAAAGGATCCCAAGATAGCAAAATAGTCAAAGTTAGTAAATTCAAAACATTTTGCTTGTGAAGTTAGTGTGGCTTTATAGTAGCATATACGGTATACAGCAGTTTCAGATTCCGCGAGTGAGCCTAAAAATACTGAAATGTAAGTAAGAATAGTATCTCATATTGCAGAAATGAGTAAAAAAGAGACTTACTGCAAGTGCCGCCACTGAACATTGGAATTGTTTCAAACATCATTTTGTGAAAAAGCAGTGCCACCGGTCTGTAATCCAGTTGATTCTTTAACAGGTAGCTATAGTAATATACATAGCGCCTCTGACTGGGAATAGTTACTCCCTAATTTTAAAAAAAGAAACAGAGTATGAGCAAGACATATACAACATTTCCCTAGCTTCTTACCTAAGTTAATTCCATAAGCACATGTACAGAATATTCATGTTCTAAAAATAAATTATAACAACTGAATACACACAAATTTGTCTAGTTTCAGTGCTTCAGAGAACTTCCCAGAAAATTCCTGAGATGTTTGCAGCTGACTCCCCAAGCTCTGCCATCAGTAGCTGAAGCCAGAAAAACATACAAAGACAAATCATAGTTCTTGCGGTTCTGGAGTAGTTCTTGGCTATCCTACCCCAGAAGATGGAGAATTTGTCAGAGAATATGGAGCAAAGACCAGTTCGAAAACATCAGGCCTGCCTGAAGGTCTTCTCCTGAGCAGTCAGAGAAGAAGCAGGAAGAGGAGCAGGTGAGAGAATACATTCTCAATAATTATGAATGTTAGAAAAAGTGCAGACATTGTCACTAACTTTCAAATTCTTTTAAAGACAAAATCTACAAAAATATTTTACAGAAAACATGCTGATCTCTCCCTTGTCAAAGAACATCTGAAAAAAGTGCCCAAATTTCTTTTAGAAAAAATACCTTTAAAGCCTCAGTTAAAGGGCTGTTGTTCTACTGTGCCATCAAGTCAGAACCTACTTACAGTGACCCTAACAGAGCTTTCAAGGTAAATGAGATTATTTAAGGAATTATTTTACTAGTTCCTCTCCCCCAGTGAGTTTCCATGGCTGAGCAAGTATTCAAAATCTGGTGTTAGTATGTCATTTTACCCACTACACCAGTGGTCCCCAACCTTTTCCCAACAATGGACCGGGTGTGGTGGTGTCCATGCGCACGGGGGCATGGAGTTGACTGATGCAGGGGCCATCAAAACAGTTAACTTTTGTGATGGCAACTTTGTAGAAAGATAATTTGTCTTGGTAAGTTGTTTTGTCCAATAACTGATATGAGAATAAGGAACCAGGTCCAGCTACAGTATTTTGGACTGCTTTATGGAAAGGAAGCTAAAGAATGTCAAGAACATTTTCATTATGGTATGTGAACAATGGTGTGTTGTTTAGAGACCTATGGAAAGCTCAACATGCTACTGCATGCACTCTGACTGAAAACACAGATCATTTACTTCTCAAGGAGTGTGGTCTGAGTAATACCTTATCTGTTTTACTCTCTATGATTTTTAAAAAAATTAAGACATGTTTTCATTGTTTCTATCACATTTTATCATGCCCTGATATCTGAAATAAGAGCAAGTCAAAGTGCTTAAATCAATTTCTGTGAAGTGTCTGACCTGAAAGTCCTCATCCCATGCGCACGGGGGCATGGTGTGCTCACGGGTGGGTGTGACACGCTCGCACGGGGGCAGATCTGTGCCTGCAGCCTGGTCCTGCCTAGGCCACAGACCGGTACCAGGTTGTGGACCAGGGGTTGGGGACCCCTGCACTACACCACACTGGCTTATTAGTGAAGGGGCACAAAACCTGTTATCCTCATAGCATAAACAGAGTCATCAACATATCTTTCTAAAATTGGATAACTGCAGGAACAAACAAAAAATGAATGACTAGTTTTATGAAGTGTTCAACCATTATCATATCATGATGTTTGCAAAATTATGGAAATCAATACCCAAATATTTATAGGATAAAGGCTATTCAGTAGGACAGCTTTTTAATGCCCACTTTTACTTGTCTCTGTTTCGGAAAGACTAATTTGCTGATCACATTATTGTATTCTGTGAATTCTTCCAAAAAATCACAGGCCAAACGTAATTTGTGACTACGTGTGTCACAGGGCTTCTCCTATAAGTGCTATGCAGCTTGGGTCCAGGCTATCTGAAGGACCATATCTCTCAATATGAAACTTCTCAGCTCCTAAAACCTTTGGAGGAGACCTTTTTTTCAATTCCCCTGCCCTATCAAGTACTTTTTGATAGGAAAATGAGATGGTGTCTCTGTGGTCTCCTCCAGGTTCTGAAATGCCCTTCCTCTGGAGACTAGGTTGTTTCCTTCTCTCTTTTCCTCTGGTGACAGGTGAGGACAATTCTTTATAGAAATATTTTTTATTGTTAACTAGGCTATGAAGCATTTCAATTTTGTGTACAACACATTATTTTTATGATTGTAAAAGGGGTATCCGTGTTACTTTGTGCAGGCATCATTTTTATGTATGTTTTAGTGTTTCAACTGTTTTAATGCTATTATATGCTTAACGGTTTATAATAAAATAATTTATTTTGTTTTAGTTTTGTTTTTCAGTAATTTGTAATTTGCCTTAGGTCCCTACACTAGGAGAAAGGGAGCATAAAAATGAAATTAAATAAAAATATGCCAGAACTTGGAAAATTTAACGTAACTCTTCCAAACCACACCAAAGAATCAAAAGTAGGGATTCTCAGCCTATCTCCATGCCATATTCTGATGGTTGGCATGTTCTGAAGCCTGAGGGGGCTAATTCTCTCTTCCCCACATAACATGTCCTTTTGTCACTCCCTGGACCATGACAAGCAGTCACTTCTGTTTATAAGTTCATGTCTCTCAAGTCCAAGAGAGACACTAAAATAACATAAAAACCATTACAGTGGACCCTTGACTTACAGACGGCTTGACTTACAGACTTTTTGAGTTACAGACTTCTCTGGCCGCAAAATTTAGGTTTGACTTGCAGACTGAGATTTGACTTACAGACCAGAAAAAAACCCAAAATGGAACAAAAATGGCCTGTTACGGGATTAATTGGTTTTCAATGCACTGTAGGTCAATGGAGACTTGACTTACAGACTTTTTTACTTGAGAACCGCCTTCCAATACAGATTAAGTTCTCAAGTCAAGACCCCACTGTATCCTAAAGTTTGGAAGGGACTATCAAAATGGCATCCTTCTCGAGAAGCACTGCTATGTTCTCCTGGAGTACTTGAGATAGTGATATAGTTCTGAAGTGCCATGTTTCCCCGAAAATAAGACAGGGTCTTATATTATTTTTTGCTCTCAAAAAACCACATTAGGGCTTACTTTCAGGGGATTTTTTTTCATGTAGAACAATCTACATTTATTCAAATGCAGTCATGTCATCTGCTTCTGGTTGCTGCACAACGGTGGAGGGCGAGGTTTCACTTAACTGGGGCTTATTTTTGGAGTAGGGCTTATATTACGAGCATCCTGAAAAATCATACTAGGGCTTATTTTCAGGTTAGGTCTTATTTTGGGGAAACAGGGTATATCATTGGAGGGAAAGAAATAAACTCCATGGCATAGCCCTGCTGGACTATGGTTAAGACCCAAATGTCACTGCTGGCTGTGCTTTAGGTGTTGATGTATGCCACTAGTACAGTGGCAGTGAGATGTTCTGTGCTTGCGGATCTCAGCTGGTGGAAAGTCAAATCTGCTGCTTGGATTTCTCATCAGCATTTAGAGATAGTAGCAAACCTATACTTTAGCCTTAGGGAAGTGGCTGAAGTATTGAGAAGACAGTGCTGGAGACAGTTTCAACCAGTCTGCTGAATATCTGGTAAATGCTGGCTGGCAGGAACATTTTCAGTAAGGACTTGGGTAGGCTTCTGAAGATAAGCTTAGTTGTAGTTCTTTCCTTGTACAGGTTGTCTATGATGTTATCCGTGTTAGTATTTAAAAAGCATTCATCATCAAAGGTAAATCCTCTATGTGGGATCTTGAATCATTAGAGATACCTGCTGATCTAAGTCAGGCAAAATGTCTGAGTGCTACAGCTGTGGTTGCATTCTTTGCGGGACATTCAGTGGCGTGATATGCAGCATTTATTTCTTGGGTCTCAAGGGCCATAGCCTCCTGCTTGAAAATCACAGCACCTTTTTATCCTCCAGTAGGCTGTCAAGGAGAAGTTGCATTTTCTCCCATAAGAATCCATGGTAGGTTCCCATCACCAGCTGGCGATTGATAACTCTGATTCCCAGAGTGACAGTGAAGTAGATTCTTCTCCTGATTGTGTCCATCTTTCTTTCCTCTTTACTGTTAGGGGCTGTGCTATGGTGGCCTTTGGATCTTGTCTATGAAGCTTAAACTATAATAGAATTAGGTTCAGGATGTTTAAGGAGGAATGTGGCTTCCTTATTATAAATCTAGAAAAAAACTCTCTACATGTCTTGATGTTGGTAGTTTCTGTCACAACTCCCTTGCAAGGCCCAGAAGGAAGAAAAGATGCCTATATGGACCAGATGAGTAGCGTTCTTGTTGATGTGATCATATACATTGGGGTTCCCAAATCTCAGTCCGCGGCCTGGTGCCGTCCATGGCCTGGGCCACAGAGACAGATCTCGCACTCCCCCCGCACAGCCCCTTTGCACACACGCACCTGAGCACCCCTGCCCCTTTGCACATGCGCCTGCACGAGTGTCCCCAGCTTCTTCACACATGCACGCGAGTGACCCCCGCCTCTTTGCGCATGCATGTAAGCACAGGGGGGCGCATTCCCTGCATATGGACCCTGCCCTTCTCCGTGGTGACAAAAAGGTTGAGGTCCACTGATATACATGATTTGTGTGGGATGACAGCACCTGGATTTCAAACTGAAATAATTTAGCCATGTTGAAGATGAAGTCAGAGTGATTTCTAAACTCCTCAGAAGGAGATAAAGGGTTAAGGTCTTGACATCAGACATGGGAATTGTGACCAGTATGAAAGGTGAGTTATCAGAGAGTTCATTACTGGTGTGTTTGGAACTGACTGAACTGCTGATAACAGAGTCCTTTTCTTCTTGTGTAGGTGAATGGTGCTTAAACCTGGAGGAAGATGGCAGGTAAGCTGATCTGGCAAATGCTTTTTGAGGGTTCCAGTTTAGCTGCTTCAAAAACTTGTTGACAGACCTCCCGCCCCACCCCCTGCACGCACTCACCCCGCAAAGGCTGTTTGCGCCTGCACACACGCTCGTGAGCATGAGCGAATGGTGGCACGGTGCTCGCTCACATGCGCAAGTGGCAGCATTTGCATGTGCTCACACAAGCGCAGTGCATGAGAACGAGCAGGCAG